GGCGGGCGCTAGGCGTCTAGGCGGTCGCTGGGCGGCTGGGCGGGCCTCCTAGGCGGGTTGGGTCCTTTTTCGTTGCCGAACCGGAGGACGAAGCAGCCGAAACCGAAGAAAACAAATCGAAGCGAAACGTCGACAGCAACCTCGGTCCTCTGCGAGTGCAAAGCTTCGTGTTCGTTTGGAATATATTAAGAGGCTATAGCCGCTCGGCTATAGGCTTAAAATATTCTGTATTTAGACAGTATAGCCGGTCGGCTATACTCTTGCAATATACAATTTTGTAATATCATTTCAAGGTTTGGGGCTGAAATACCACTTTAGTCCATTGGACTAGTGCTATTTCTTCAATTATTTTATTTGTACATGCGATATTCGGAAATGAGAATTTAAATTCTTTCCAATACCTCTCATTCTAATGATTTCCAACCACTAGCCCATTAGGCAAGAATAAAAAAATGGATTTTATTTATAACAAATAACTTGGGTTTAACCCATAAATTCAACAACAAAAAATAGGATGTCAATGAACTCGAGCTCAATCCTTCTAAAGCATTTTCAGCTAATGAAGTCACAGTCCTTTTACACTAAGGGAGGCTCGATAAACTATATTTCTTGTTGGTGTGTTAATCTAGTGCTTTTGAAGTTAGTTTGAAAAGTTAAATATAATTAAGAGATTCCTAACTCATGCGTTAGCAAATGCACCCTCTAATTTTTTTATTTGTTTTCTTTGGGGTTGAGGTGGAGTTCACACAACAAAAACACAGATGCTGATACAAGAACAAATATAAAAGCTTAAATGAATTAGATTTTTCACTTGAGGTGGTGTAATATTTCTTTTTTTTTTTTTTTCCCTGTTCTTTGGTGGGATGGTTTTGGGTTCCTATGCAACAGGAGGAGGAGACAAATCTTTTTTTTTTTCTCTCAGCAAACAAGAGGGCATGATCAAATGTCAAAATCTATAACAGAAATGCAATATCCAAAGAATGAAAAGCAGTCCAACCAAGAAGAAACTATCAAATATTAGTGAATCAGCAAAACTTATGAATTTAGCAAATAAAGAACCTGAAGCCAGTTTCAAGCCGAAAAAACTTACTTGTGTAATATGAAGAGCCTGCCCAAGCCGCTGAATTTGAATCCATTGTTCTGTAACAATGTCAGCCATCTGAAAGCAAAGAGAAAGAAGCCAATGGCAAAATGAACACCACACTAACAATATCACACACTCATAACCATAGACCAAAGATGGATTGAGTACATCAGTGCATGACCTTTTGAGCCTGAGAGGCGACCGTTTCGAGTCTATCCTCGGCATCTTGTGCTTTAGACTCTAAAAAATCAGCCTAGGCTGGCGGCTAGGCAGCTAGGCGGACGGCAAGACGGCTAGGCGAGCGCTAGGCGGCTAGGCGGGCTCTAGGCGGCTAGGCGGCTGGGCGAGCCTCCTAGGCGGGTTGGGTCATTTTTCTTTGCCGAACCCGGAGGACGAAGCAGCCGAAACCGAAGAAAACAAATCCAAGCTTGAGTTGATAGAGAAGCGAAACTTCGGCTACAACCTCCGTCCTCTGCGTGTGCAAGCTTCGCGTTTGAAATATATTAAAAGGGTATAGCCGCCCGGCTATAGGCTTAAAATATTCGAATATATTAACATTATACATTTAAAATATTCGAATGTATTTAGAAAGTATAGCCGACCGGCTATTCGTTTAGAATATTCTAATATATTTCCCGAGTATAGCCGCCCGGCTATACTCTTGAAATATACAATTTTGTAATATCATTTTAAGGTCTGGGGAATGTGAATTTAAATTTTTTCCAATACATCACATTCTAATTATTTTCAGCTATTAGCTCATTGGGTAAGAATAAAAAAATGGATTTTATTTATAACAAATAACTTGGGTTTAACCCATAAATTCAACAATAAAAAATAGGATGTCAATGAACTCGAGGTCAATCCTTCTTCTAAAGCATTTTCAGCCAATGAAGTCACAGTCCTTTTACTCTAAGGGAGGCTCGATAAACGATATTTCATGTTGGTTGTGTTAATCTAGTGTTTTTGAAGTCAGTTTGAAAAGTTAAATATAATTAAGAGATTCCCAACCCATGCGTTAGCAAATGCACCCTTTAAAGAAAACCTAGGTTTTATGTCTAACTATTTCCCATGTTTTATATGAACTAGCCTCTCCACACACATTTTCGCGATAAATTTATTTTAGAATTATAAAAGATAATGGGTAGTTGTATTCCATAAAAATAGAAACTTTTATCTGATTTTTCTTTTAATTTTTTTCAATGTGAAAAAGTATGAATTTACCATATTATCCTCATTTAATTAATAATTTCAATTGTTAATGTTTGCATTAACCAAGGGTATTTTCTGGTATTTTGAATGTTTTACCATTCTCTACCTTTTGCTTTATATATATAGATTATGGTACTTTATCATTTATATGTCCTTTTATTTTTGCATTATTTATGTATAAATTTATAATTTATAATACAAAATAATTATAAATAAATAAAACACCTAGTCGATTACTCCTCTAGGCACTAGGTCCATGCCTGTCACGTAGCTATTTTTAGAACATTGGTCAATCGACGCAATCTTCAATTAGTTACAACTTACAACATCGTCGAGTGTACAGAAACGACATATCGACGACTTTCGAATGGAATCCAATAGAAATGTATTCTAATAATAAACACGACAAGTAAATTACTTTAAAATTAGCTCTTTTCTCTCCTTTAAGTAATTACCAAACTAAATTGTTTTATTTTATTTTTTTGGTTTGAAAAGATGTTTGAAAGGTTAAGCTCAATTCTTTTTCTTTTACTTATATAATATGTTTGATAAGTTAAATTTCTAATAACAGTAGTATTCAAACGTAATAAAAATATAAAGTTAATACCTTCGTCCTTATTGAGAAAACAAAATTAATAAATACATTGCTGCGAGATGATTTGAATTTTATGAAATTTTGCCAAAAAAAAAAAAAAAAAAAAAAAAAGGAATTTTATTGATTATAAAATCAATAGTCTTTTTTCTCAAAGTAAGATCAGTGTTCTTCTTACTAACGGCATCCCCGAGGCACACATTACATCCCTTGCCCGTTAATGCAAAACTCAATAAATTGTAAACGTGAAATTTACAGCTTACAGTCTTTACTTGAGGCGATAGGTATACAACCTATAGTTATTACAGTTTGAATTGATATAGAACTATATATATATATATATATATATATATATATATATAGAATCATATATAGAATCTTGTCTACCCGTTCTTTTGGAGATGCAGGTGCTTGTAGCAGTTCTAGCCATAGAACCCTAAGGGTTAAAAACTCTCTAGAAATAACCATGTGGGACGTAGTAAAGGAGTTGTCCAACTAGGATATACCCAGAGTACCCATCATTAATATCTACTATACAGGATCTTTCAAATTTAGATCTGATTATGCAATAAAAACTGTTGAAAAAACCATATCTGTCATTGAAAATTTCTTTCTGGATTACTAATTCTATTCGCTGAAAAGGTTAGGAATAGAATTAAAGATAAAAATGGTGGTGTCATTCCTTATGGGTCATACACCTATGGGGAATTATCCTCTGAGATTTGTGTAGAAGGATTAGCTCTTTGCACAAACATGATATTAAAGAAAAAGCTTGATAAGTAGAAAACTCTAGGAAGAAAATAATTAGGAGACTTCTGTGAACAATTTGGTTTTGAACCAGTGAAATCTTATTCACATAAACCACATAAAAAGGGAAAGAAATTTGGGGGGCGTAGGAGCAACCTGAAATTAATAGGTTAATGAATAAACAAGATAATGATCAGAAATTTAAAAGATCAAAGCCAAAACCAGGGATAAGAATATAACGAAACTAAAAACGATATAAACGATAACATTAATATTTAGTAAACTTTATATAGGGGGTGGATCCATGACACTATATTTTTGACACAAGTCCTAACTCATGTGGATGGGCTACCATGCCCACTAAGAAACTGAAGACCGAACAAGGGCCATAAGTCAGCTGTATTTTTTTTCGCTGCTCTGTTTTGGTTTATGTCTCCTGTTGTTTTGGTTTTGTTTCTTAAAATGAAAAAAAACTTAGTGATAAATCGTGTTACCTATAAGTCATGAACATAAATTAGAATACTACCTATAAGTTAGGAACATAAATTAGATGACTACCTATAAGTCAAATACAAAAATAGACAAAGAAAATTGTATGTTACCTATAAAAAAAATGTACATAAAATACTCAGTATATACTAGACCTCTACGATAGGGTGAACAAAAATAAAAATAATGGCATATAAATTCTCATCTTACTCATTTTAGACAATAGAGATATAATATGAACAAAAAAAATTTAAATACAAATCTGTTAAATACAAAAATTTGAACCAACATGTCAAAGATGGAATGTAATATATGTGGCAAACTAGTCAAGGAACTTATATCAATAAACAAATAATTCGAGGACTAGACCTAATTATTGGTTGGATTTTTGGACCTCTATCAACTTTTCTAAATTAATAATTAAAACTCATCGAAAAATTCCTAGTTCTTTAGTTAATTACTTGTCTCATCATTGAACCTTGGTAAAACTGTATAATGAGTGGTAAGATGTGAGATAATTGCTTGAGAATAGTCTGCAGGGGTTGGTTCAACTAATCCATTGAACATGTTGTTCAAGCTTTCACTTTGCATAATTTGATGAACTCTGAGGCACTGAAGATATGATCTTAACAAGGCTTGGAGGAATCGGGT